ATCAGGAGGCGCTACTTCACGGTCAGGGCGGCTAGGGTCTGGAACTAGCTTCCAAGTGAGGTGGTGCAGGCTCCCACCCTGGGGGTTTTTAAGAGGAGGTTGGATGACCACCTTACTGGGGTCGTTTGACCCCAGTACTCTTTCCTGCCATGGCAGGGGGTCGGACTAGATGATCTGCTCAGGTCCCTTCCGACCCTAGAAACTATGAAACTATGAAACCTCCTTTCCCTGCAGGACTGCATTGGTGTTGAAGTGGAGGGTATTTGCTCTCACAGGATTTTGCTTACAGGGATATTGTGCGGGCATCACACCTGAAGCCCCTGGAGAAAAAGGATAAATTTGGAAAAAAGAAAAACCTACTGTGGAATTCCTGTGCAACCCAAGCTAAGTGCCAGCAGAACAGTGAGGTGGAAATAGCCCAGGTGAGGAAAAAAACCTGTCTATAAACTTGCTGGGGGGTACCAGCGGGGTTTGGGAGAGACCTTGTTCCCCGGAGCGCCTCCTGGAGTAACAAGGAATAACGGCTATAAGTTGCTAGAGAATAGATTTAAACTAGACATTAGAAGGCACTACTTCACAGTCAGGGTGGCTAGGATCTGGAACAAACTTCCAAGGGAAGTGGTGATGGCTCCTACCCTGGGGGTGTTTAAGAGGAGGCTCAACATTTACCTAGCTGGGGTAATTTGAGCCCAGTTTTCTGTCCTGCCTAGGGCAGGGGGTCAGGCTAGAAGATCTACAACGTCCCTTCCAACCCTACATCTTCCCATCACTATTGGTTTTTCGACATCTGAAAGTTATTGCAGAACAAGATAGTGTGTGAAATTCAAAACAGACCAGAAGCCATTCAGTAGATAAAGCAATGGATGTTAGGTTGCGCAGAATGAGGATTTGAAAAAGCAGACCTCCCCCAACCTGAGGAAAGACCATTCAGAAGAAATAGCAGTTCCATAGGTGAACAAGCCCTAAACAAATCCCAAATATCGGAATCTCTTGAGTAGATCAGATCTCCATTTAGTCCTACATCCTGTCTCTGCCACTATTCCCTTATTGCCGGGGTAAAAACTAGACTTTTACTCCTGAACTTTGTTTGCTGTCTCTTCATTGGTTTCTGAGCCATAGTACTATTTTACCTTTCTCCCTGTGACTATTCAGTTACCACAGGTGACCTGTTCTCTGTGACCACCATCCATTCTTTCCTTGGAATGAAATCCCAGCCCCATTGAAGTCAATGGGAGTTTTGCCAGTTTACTTAGGATCCCATACCCCCTTACACACACATGCATTCAGACAGTCATCAGTGTATACAAACTAATGAGAGGGATTTCAGAAGTAGAAAGGAAAGGAAACAGGAGAAGCCTGGTGCTCACTTATTGCTGTTGGTCTTTTCTTCCCAGGGGTTGGACCGATTACCTGAAACCTCTACAGAATTCTACAGAGATTGGCGCAGATGCTTAAAAAGTGGGCAAGAAAAATACCGGTTCCTACTGCAGCTCGGAGGCACAGGCCTGGGCAGAATCTTTCAAGCGGATCTCGGCTTTGGCCTCCTGGGTGAGTTCCTCAGGGTGTTGGCAGAGAATGTCTGTGGTGAAGACAGAGAAGCCACCCTGCAGATCTTACAGAGCCTTTCAGAGACTAAGCGCTTTGGGCTCAATGTGGATCTCCTGAGCCAGGTGGAAAAGGAGAGCAGTAGGGACTTGTTTGAGAAACTGAAGAGCATGAACAGAAATTATAGCACTTGTGGGCTTTCTGTTGGCAAAGCCAAGGCAGGATCAGAAACTCTAGGGGAAGAACCAAGAGAAGCTGAGAGTGAAATGCTTCTCCAGGGGTGTGGCCTGGGGAAGGAGGCAGATGAGAGGAGGCTGATGGAGCTGATGAAATGTTACCAACTCATGTGAAGGAGCACAGGCTCACTGCAAGGGTGTTTGGGAGCAGAGTCCAGAGTAGGGATCCTTCAGCTCCGCTCTCCGATCAAAGATCACAGGACTCTTAGGGTACATGACACCTTGTCCCTAGCATGTCCGAAGAGGAATGGTTCCAAATACAGTCTACCCGCCAGTTACTTGCATTCACTGGGCCTGGAAACACAGTGGTGAAGCTGCTTTAAGGGACTTCCATGCAGCCATTGTCAAGCACCCCAGAGACCAAGGTCTTGAGAGTGGCCATGTGAGTAGACATCTCTAAGCAGCTGCGCTACCGAATTTCTGTGCCCAGTGCACATGAGTGGGTCTGTGTGGGCTTGGGGGTATCCTTCCCTGAACATGCAAGGGACCTGGTGTAGACATACCCTGAGAATTCCTCTCTGTAGAGTGTTGCCGATCTAATCCTCTCTGTATCTGTCTTAGTACCTAGCTTAGTTGCTTACCCCAGTACAAATAAATGTTAGTTACAGAAAGAATGGTATTGCAGGAATTGGGAAAGTGCCATGCACAGAAAGGAATCCTTGCTATAAATAGGGAATAATCAGTAGATTATCTGAGGACAAAGCTATAAGGGAGTCTTTGTGGTATTAGTAGGGTAAAAAATAAAATCAAAATCAATTCCTCACCTCTTTTTGTTCTTTGTGTATATGTTCCCTGAGCAGAGAGACATTTAGCCATGTTAAGCTGAAGTCAAATAGGAGACAGGGTAGATTTGCACCTTATAGGCTAACCAAATCTGCCCTACTTCTATATATTCCTTGCCTAGAGGGCATTTTTGAGAAACAATCAGTTATATTGCCATGTTTAAACAGAGCTACATTTGGAAGGTGTTCATGTACAAGCCTCCATGAGTTTAACATTTGGGAATGAGTTGAGTGATCACTTTCTTAAACAGGACCAGAATTATTACAGTGCAGATCTTGAGGTGTCATGGTCATGCACCAAAGATTAGTAATAATCTCCATGCCAAGACATGACCTTGCTGCAGGCCACTCCACCATAATTAACATTTTATTTGGATTATTAGAGGAAGTGAGTCTGGACGGACAGGAACTGAAGTGTAGAAAGCTGCAGACTGGCTAGCAGTGGGGATGCAGAAGGATCAGGACACAAACAAGAAAGCAGATTGCATTGGAGTGAAGATAGTCATGGGTGGCAAGGTAGAACTCTGGCCACTGCCTTTGAAAGGAGAATTAGGTTTAGGGAGTGATGCAGAGGGAAACAGAGATAGGGAACTGGATGTTTCTCAGCCCTAGGCGTCAGAAGTAAAACCATGTGTAGGTCACAAAAAAGACTAAGCCATGAAGTTTGTTTAACTAAACTGGATGAAACTCACAGAGTACAAATTCTGTCCTTCTGGGTCTTTATCCTGAAAGGCCATTCAAACATAATCAATAGCTGTCAGATTATACCCAGCTCTGGAAAGATGAGTCCTGTCCTCCCCCAGTAGTAAAGTAAAACAAATCACATCCTCCTGCAAGCCTCACCAGGTGTTGTTAATAACTACCTGCCTTCAGGTGTACATCTCTATGCACATGCCCACATATACCTTATGGCTAATCCTGTGACCTCCCTCCAGGAAATGCAGATATGTCTCTTCCTAAAGATCCTCCCTCCCTTCCCACAGGTTTGATGAGCAGTGAAGTAGTTAACCATATGGACATTTGAAGGATCCTCAGAGGCAATAGTGTTGGCTTCCTTGAAATGAATGGTGCAGTTCACACCGCAGAGCCTCTGCTAATTGATGGATAATCTTGTTGCACTAGGGTCATGGTTTGAAGGGATTTTTTGCAATCATAGCAGATAGGGACTTGTTTTTTTAATGAAAGCTGAGATCTGGAGTGCAGCTAAGAGGTCTGTTCTGTGCCTCCTGGCAAATCTTCAGCAACCTGTAGGAGACACAGGGCATGTTTTGGGAAATGCTGGGTTAAAGAGAGGTTATTTGGCTGAAATGAACAGAGGGCTGCTCAACATATCAAAATGAAAGTCTTTCATTTTAGAAGCTTGAATCTGAAGTCTCTTCCCCTTATATATTTTCTCCTTTTTTTTACATGATACACAAAGAGGTTTGTTCTTGTAGAGTCCCTCAGGATCTCTGGGTTCTACACATGCTGCTTTATTTTAAGTAAGGCTACCTGGGAATGCATTGATGCTGGTGGTACGTTTGGAGCTTTCTGGAATTATTTTTTCAAAGCTACAAAATACTGCTTTTCCATGAAATATACACCTGAGGTTATTGTGCAAATCCTAGGGGCTGCAGAAGGGTAGAGTACCATGGGTTTGAACAAGCACAGCAAGCAATGCATAGGACAGGAAGTGAAGAAGAACCTCCTAACAGGAACTGAAAACAATCTGACATTAAAAGCAGATAGAATGACTCAGCAGAAGTCAGATGTAGTCTTCCTCTGAGAAAGATCAGAGCATATTCACATAGGGAGAGGATAGGAGCAGCCCAGGATTCAATCCAGTCCTGCACTGACAGGAATGGGACAGAGGCAACCAGTTTAGTTCTGTCCCTGAACATCTACTCAAGGGGCAACAGATAAGATGGAGATAACCCCATGTTTAGATGTCTAGATAGCATTCCTACATTCTGTTACAATCACATGTAAGGTATTACTTGAATACAACCAAAAGCAGGATCCACTGTATTAATCACTGTACTGAGAAACAGGCTCTGCCCCAAAGAACTTACAAGCTAGATAGTGTTGGATGAAAAACCAATGGGGAAAAGCAATGCTTTATCTAAAACCATTCATACTTACACGCACAGGCCAATCCACTGGTGCTCAGGTTCAGTCACGATGGACAATCGCAGTGCCTCTAAACACAATGATTTTATGGGAGGGACACCAGTAGTTTTCTCCCACGTTGATGTGGATGGGATACAACGTGGTTGGGGCCTGGTCTTCACTGCCTTTTTATCCAGATACACTGCTATGGTGCCTCTGACAACCTACTAAGCCAATCACGTTGTTGCTGTTGAGTTGAGTTGCTGAGTTGACTTCACCAAACTCAGTCTTTTGGTTACATATGTCATGGCTTAGGTATGCAGATGGATGGATGGTAAGGAATCGCTTGTTTTATAACCTCCTGAGACAGGGAGTCTGCTCTTGTTCTTATCTTCTTGTAGATGGTTTATTTAAGTCTTCTTATCTTCCTGTTCTCAAGGCTGCTTTCTCAGTAGACTGGGTATGCTTGAAACCATATTCATTCACTCACTCATGCATTCATCTAAAATTCATTTTTGATAATATTCTCAACAATAGGAAAAGAAGGGAATCAGGGCCAGAGGGGGCAGTGACTTGCCCAAAGTTATGCAGTGGGTCAGTGTCAGAGCAGGGAATAGAACCAAGATCTCCCGTGCCAGCCTTATGCACTCATAATCCTACCACTAAGCTGAGAACTCTTAAGGAGAAGGTGATGTGGCCAAAAAGATCTACTATGTTATTTGAATAGCTGGAGGCATCTCAAGACTTCCTTATATCAATGGAATCCAGCACCCTAGACCAACCATTTGGGAAGCTGACATGGCCTAAATATTAGGTTTAAAGTCCCTAGACCCACAGGGTGAGATGCAGAGAGTGTAGATCCCTCTCCCTGTTTGTCTCTCCAAGAGCAATTCTCTGCAGCTACTTCTCAAGTCCTTCAGGCAAACCTTAAACAGTGGAGGCCTCTGCACCATGCACTGCACTGTTGTTCCCATCTGCATTTGGGTCAGAATTTCCTTCTTCTCACTGTTGTGCTACATATGCATAAATTTACCTGGTCATGGCCTTCAGCCCCAGGGGCAGCTGTGTTTCAGTGAAGCTATGTGGATATTGTCTGCAGCATGTTCAGAGCTGAATAGGGCTGTGCATATTCTGAATCTGACTGTCTCAGCGCCGCGCTCGTGTTCTAGAACAGACGTGAGGAAGAAAGGGAAAGGTTCTAGAATGAATGTCTCTGAGGCCCCAATGGAAAGCCTTGACCTTTCAGTGCGGTCTTTGACACAATAGACTGATTTCTTACAGTAGCCTCCCCAGCGATTATCAGGCTGAGCTGACATATTTCTGATGACTCCTGTTCAACCTCTCCCATCTACCAACTAGTGCAGAGGGGAGATTTTATTGTTAAAAACTTACCTACAAACCCTATCTTCTTAAAGCACTCCCTACCCCACCACCGACATCCTACTGTTAACCTTGGTGACTAGGAGATCAATAAGGATCTCACAACACTTACTATTGGATGTGGATGCCAGTTTGACGCATACTCCTTGGAGACAGTCTAGTCTGACTGGTGACCATGAGGCTGGTTGGAATGACCTTTCTTCTTTGGATGATAGACCTTCTCCATGCTTTTGCAATTATGGAGAAGGAAGACATATTCAAGAAAACACCCTGTCCAGCCTTCCTGATGTTTGACAATGCTGCCTATTTGGCCGATATGAGTTTTGAGCTCCCTTGCAACTGCAAGCCAGAAGAGATCACCTCAGTTGTGTGGTACTTCCAGAACAGCCCAGGCAGCCGGGAGACCAAGGTTTTAACAGACTTTGATGGCACTATGGTTGTGGACTCAGGCCACATCCGGGTAGGCAGTGACATGCTGAAGCGTTTCAGCATTAGGATGTTTAGTCTCATTGTCTTTCGGGCCCAAGTGGAGGATTCAGGCCACTATCTTTGTGGCACAAAGCAAGGGGACTTTTTCTACGGCTATGACGTGGATGTGCAGCCATCCAAGTACATCACTGTGGCCTTCAAAGACATAGGTCAGCACCCACAAAAGGATCACATTGAAAAGCTGTTCAGTCTGTTCACCACCTTTTGGGACTGGACCAAATGTGACCGCTGCGGGGTACGAGGTGAGCAACGGAGAATTGGTCTCTGCTACATGAACAGCACCTACCTCAACCCCAGGTACCGCACCACCTTGGCAGATGTGGTGTCCTGTGGTTCAAGATCTGTCCCCATGCGCTTCCACAGCACCATTCAGCTCAGGAAGCCGGAGGTTGTCATCCGAAGCTGCATGACACCTTGTCCAAAGAAAAAAGCCCCCAAGGAAGGAGTGCTTGCCATTGCCAACCTTATTGCAAAACTGGGTGAAAAACCCTGGGTGCCCAAAGTTCCCATTCAGTTCCACAAGCAGCAGATAGGAAGCAGTCTGATTATCTCTTGCCCTGAAGCCAGGCCAGAGCATGCAGTGGCTTGGGACAAAGACTTAGCTCCACTATACCGTACCCACTTCCTCAAGGGAGTCAACAAGAGCATGCGGATCTTCATTGACCATGGCAATCACCTGCACATTCGATTTGCCCAGCTGAATGACAGGGGCACTTATTACTGCTGGCGAGAGAGTCAAATGATTGCTGGTTTCCGGCTCTCTGTGGGGTTTCAAAGTCAGCGCAAGCGGACGCTTAACGATCCTGAGACAAGATATGCCATCAAAGCCATCCTCACAAGTTATGTCTTTATCACCGTAGTTTTCATTGGCATCCATCTCGGCCGCTGCTGCTTTTATGTGTTCAGAGGCACTTTTGTGGGGTAGCCTTTTCAATAAGTGCTTGGCCACAGGCCAAGGGAATTATTTATCTCATCCACTTGTTATGCTCATTTGGAACCTTTTCCCTTGGGCTGTTGAGAATTTTCCTAATGCCTGTTAGAAATAATGACAAGCAAAAAGCTACCAGTACATGCTTGCTTGTTTCCTTTCATTGTGGAGCATGAAAAAGAGGGAGCTGAACTGGAAAGATAATTGCATTCAGAATATTACTGCCATAGCTTGTTGGGGACAGAGTCTGTGAATAAGGAGTCCTGGTCTAGGCCCTGCTTATCCCCTGACTTTGGGCAAGCCTTGCTGCTTATTCATTTCTCAAACAATACTTTACATTGTGTGTTCTGGTCAGGGGTCTTAAAGTACTTTTCCAGAATAGATAAATATCATATTAGTAGGTTTCTTACAGCTGAACAAATAATCAGTTCCCCCTCCAACCCCCCCAGTCTGCTTTATTGAAAAAACTGAGAAATATCAGTTTGGGATCAACTTGAAATTAAACTTTATTTTTTCCCTTTTAAGTTTTTTTTATTAAAAAAATAAGAAACATATTTCAAAACAAAACCTGTTTTGTTTTTATTGAGGTGTTTTTGCAGCTAAAACAAGTCACTGATATTAGGACAGGTTTCTCCAATATCAGCACAGGTTTGCAGTGAATCTTCTTTTTGGGGTGGGGTGGCATGGGGAGGGGGAGGTTTCACCTGAAAATCCTAACCCAGCACTGATTCACATCTCTGTTTACAAGGTTTGGACGCTGAGGCACATAGGGGCAGGCTTAGGAGTGAAAGTGCCAACTGGCTGTTCTGAAAGGCCATGCACTTACCTTGGTGCATGCAGTAGGGCTGAGTTTGGCAGCTCCACAGAAAAAGGAGGAAAGACACTGGGCCCTTGGAAAGTCTGGCCTTATCCAGCAGCCGATCAATTCAGCCTTTCTTTAGAACACCTGCTTGCAAGCTCCTTTTCCATGCTATGGGGTGGAGCTCACTGCTATTCAGTTACCTCTGTTCATAAGATGCTACCATTGGCTGGTTCCCCCCACCCCCCCATTCATCCCCCACGCTCCTAGGTACATTATAGGGACAATTTTTAACTCAGACCTCTCCCAGGAGTGGAATGAAACAAGTTGAAGTGCCTTGCCCTCTCCCAGCTCCTATGGGCTGGGTGCTGAGAAAACCCACTCTGCCTAGAGCCCCAGGCCGCTTCCTTCTTTTTTTGGAGTGTGCAGTGCATTCTGGGTCACCCTATCCAAGGAACTTTTTTTTTTAATTAAAATATATTTATATCTCTATATATTTTGTTAAACACATCCTCTATCATAGACTTCCGTTGAACCTTTTTTTTTAAACCACCAGTGGGTGTCTGTGTAGCAGTCCAGGGGCCTCCCAGGAGATTTTCTGGTGGCTCATGTGAGGAGGAGGCTCTGTGTCAGCCTTTTGGGTGGCACCTTCATGAGGTTTAAAGGACTGTGGTTAGCACACTGCCTAATATCATCTGGCAGAGGCAGAGCAGTGCAACTTTCACCGGCTTTAGCACACAGGTATAGCCCAGGGGAGCTGAGGCAATGGCAAGTGGCCTTGTCTATACTTGTGTCCACTGGCACCTTCCCCATCCCCTTTAAAACCTGCCCCAGAGAACAGTCCCGTCCCTCCTTCCTCTGTAAGGGCTGAGGCAGAGAGCATTGACAGCTACTATTGCAGAGGACCTGCAACCCTCCCAGAGCTAAAAACATGAGCTAAGAAGCTGAGGCTGCCACCTTGGGGCTGTGCAAGCCTCATAGCCTCTAGGGACCAGGTGCAGAGGGGTTCTGCCTGACACATGACGTTACATCTTTGTGCAGAAGGACCTGGTACCCCAGCACTGAAGCTTCACGGAAAAGAAGTTTCATAGTTAGTTTCATAGTTTCTAGGGTCGGAAGGGACCTGAGCAGATCATCTAGTCCAACCCCCTGCCATGGCAGGAAAGAGTACTGGGGTCAAACGACCCCAGTAAGGTGGTCATCCAACCTCCTCTTAAAAACCCCCAGGGTGGGAGCCTGCACCACCTCACTTGGAAGCTGGTTCCAGACCCTAGCTGCCCTGACCGTGAAGTAGCGCCTCCTGATGTCCAACTTAAACCTTCCCTCCGCCAGCTTGTGAC